AAGTATTTATATTCAGCAACCTTGCAGCTCTTACCATTTGCCTTAGTCTCTCCCTTTTATCACCACTCTCTTCCAAAAACCATTCTGAAACTGAATCCATTCTGAAACATCTCCAGCCCAAATCCCCCTACTCAGACTTCTCAATCCCATCCCATTTCTTCACTCATTGTCCTATTAAGATTACTTTCCCCTGTGTCATTCCCTTTAGTCTTAGAAGAGGTAGGTCAGTTCATGCTGGCTAACTCATATGACTAATGGGTTAATGTCTCACAAGTTCATTGCTCTTGTGGCACCGCATATTCACAACCACCTGGTTCAGACATGGGTGATATCTTTACACTGTCCTGTCCAACATGGTAGCCACTATTAAAGTGCTGTGACTCTCTAAATTTAAATATAAAATAATTAAATAAAATTTAAAATTCTGTTGCTCAGTGGCACTAGTCCTGTTTTAAGCCATTAGAATATTTCTGCCAACACAGAAAGTTCTATTAGTCAACACTGCCTTAACAACAACAGCAAAAAGCACATGAACTTTAGTATTAGACTGTGAATGTGGCCATCATTTTTGTGCTGAGAAAATTTACCAGGGCTAAAAATGAACATATCTGTGTATTATAGGCACATAATCAGGGCTGCGGTAGGAAGTAGCCGGATGAGGGAGAGAGGAGAGTCTTTGATGAGTACCGCATGCCAGGGTTTGGGCAGAGGCAGGCCAGTCAAAGTCAGGCCTTTTTATACTAACAAGCAATCCTCTAACAACCCATTTTACAGATGAGAAAACTGAACTGAAAAGCAGTTAAGTAATTTACTCAAAGCTTTGAAACCAGAATGCAAAATCAAGACTGAATCCCGATGTCCTTTCTGTTGTATCAGCCAAGCTGCCAATCAGTGTCACCAAGGAAAAGCAGGTGGGACTCCCAGCCACCATTCCTCAAAGCTCATTAGTTTTCTCTCCCCTCAAAATGGGGGTTGGGGCCATACAGTACAGAGCAATAAATCTTTAATATTTTCTCTTGAGATAATTATAGATTCACATGCAGTTGGAAGAACTAATACAGAGAGATCTTGCGTATCCTTTCAATATGTATATTTTTAATCGTTACATATTCACACTCTGTGGTGTTGGGATTATGAAGACAAAAATAGTCTTTATTCTCGAAGACTTTGGAGGCCAGTGGGGAACATAGGAACAAATCATTTATATACAGTTGGTTAAAACAAAAGTGCAATGCCATTTTCAACTACCGATTAGCAAGTAACAGTAATGGTAATGGTATTCTAGCTAAGCAACTGAAACACTCCCATATTTTATTGATAAAAGTGTAAATTGAGGTGAAGAAGCAAGCAAGCAAGGTGGCAATATGCATGGAATATTTTAATCTCTCGGGTAATATTTTTTGAGTCCTGCTACATGCCAGGCACTGGGCTAGATCCATGGGGAAAGCACTGACCAAAGCAGACACTGTCCAGCCCTCCTCAAACTTACACAGCCATGTCTTCTTTACAGGCAGACAAGCTTCTGTGAAAAGGGCTGTGAGAGGCAAAGTAAAGATGTTAGAGAAGCATTTGTGAGGGAAGCTGAATTCAGCCTCAGGTGATTAGGGACGGCTATCACAGAGGAGAGGATCGGAGAAGGTAGTCTTCCAACTGTTAAATGATGAACAGGAGTCAGCCAGAGGAAGAGGACTCAGGGCGGGTGGAAAAGGCATCCTAAACAGCATGAACAGCAAGTGCATGGGAAGGATGCACATCAAAAGAGAATGGCCTAAAAAATCTGGCGAAACTATCTCAAGGAACAACCCGGAATACAAAATAACAACAACAAAAACCAAACCTTTCAAACATGAAGATTTTCACTATATCATTACTCATAATAGTGGAATATTAAGGAATCTATTTTAATAAAGGAGACTTGGTTAAATTATATGTGGTACATCCACAATATAGAATTTCATAGCCATTTAAAATAGTTCTTCCAAAGCATTTTTTGTTCTTTTTTTTATTGATGTTCAAGTACAGCTGTCTCCATTTCCCACCCCCCGTTCCTCCCCACCTCAGCCATCCCACCTCCCACCTCCGATCCCATCTCCTTTGCTTTTGTTCATATGTCCTTTACAGCTGTTCCTGAAAACATTTCCCCCTTTCCCCCCTCACTATCCCCTCCCAGCTCCCCTCTGGTTACTGTCTGTTTGTTCTTAATTTCAAAGTCTCTGGTTATATTTTGCTTGCTTGTTTGTTTTGTTGATTAGGCTCCACTTATAGGTGAGATCATATGGTATTTGTCTTTCACCACCTGGCTTATTTCACTCAGCATAAAGTGTTGGAGAGGATGTGGAAAAAAGGGAAACCTAGTACGCTGTTGGTGGGAATGCAAACTGGTGCAGCCACTGTGGAAAACAGTGTGGAATTTCCTCAGAAAACTAACAATGAAATTACCTTTTGACCTGGCAATTCCACTGCTGGGATTATATCCTCCTAAGAGCCCTGAAACACCAATCCAAAAGAACCTATGCACCCCAGTGTTCATAGCAGCACAATATACAATAACCAAATGCTAGAAGCAACCTAAGTGCCCATCAGTAAATAAATGGATCAAAAAACTATCGTACATTTACACAATGGAATACTACACAGCAGAAAGAAGAAAGGAGCTTCTACCCTTTGCAACAGCATGGATGGAACTGGAGAACATTATACAAAGTATTTTTTAAATATTAAACATGGTTGTGTTAAAATGTTAAATGAGAAAGGCAGGATATATAATTACATGTCCTACATGACCTCAAACATGTTAAATATGTGTGTAGCTAAATGGAAAGAGATGGGTTAAAATAGTAATAATATAGGCATGTCTTTGGGTAGTGAGATTAGGGGTTTTTATGTACATGCTATCTTATAGCATGATGGTTAGTCTGGAGCTAAAATTAAAAATGTGAAAATAATACTACCTTTGCTCTTGATAATACCATAATTGATCCTGAAGAAAAAGGTGAATTTATGTAACATATAAAAACAATTGTTACAAGAAGTGGGCACAATATAAAGAAGACATTAAATGTGGAAGAACTGTTAAGTACGTGGCTACAGAAACAACATCACTACTGTATGCCAACAGGACAATACCAAAAATACTGAGGAACTTAAAGACGAATCCTGGTGAGAGGTTTTATTTGAAGTTTGTAGGTCTGAGCCCTACTGGAAGCCAAACAACATCAGCAATACTGACGGGTACAGACCCTCTATACCACAGCTGTTCCCTCCCGACACCTTTGAAGTATAGTTAAAACTGAACTACATGATAAAGATAGCTCTACAGAGAAAGATAGCTCTCAGAGAAAACAGATTATTCAGTTACTGTGTTGGGGACTCCAGATAAAAAGCTGGAAACTAAAGCTGGGTGTCTGCTTCACTCTTTACATCAAAATTAATTCCTGTAGATCAAATTCTTAAATATGAAAATGAAACCATAAGAAGAAATTTTTAAAAGAATTATAGAGGGGTTCTTGGGAAGATGGATGCGGAGAAAGGCAAAGGATTTCACTTCCCCCCACGCACTGGAAAAAAACCGGGCTGATCTGCGGAGGAGCGCAGCAGACAGCCAACAGGGACCCAGCATATAGGAAGGTAGGACTCAAGAATTATAGAGAGGTGAAGGCTCCTCTAATATGACATATATCCAGAAGTCATAAAATAAACTCAGAAAAAATATTTGTAGTCCATATCACAGGCAAAAAAATCTGTTTTTGTGATATATAAAGCTCTCCTACACATCAGTAAGAAAATGCCAATTTTTCTATTTTTTTCAATGAAAAAATACAACTCAATCACATGAAAAGATGTTTAAATTCATTCATAACAGAAACATGAAATTAACCCATAAATTTTCACCTATACAATGGAAAGAATCCATGAAATGTGATAACACACATTGATGGTGAGTTGAAAATTGGGAAACTTTTATGAGGAAAATTTGCTATCATCAATCAAAATTACAAATATGAGGTCTTTAATCTAGAAATGCTACCTCTAACAATTTCTCCTTCATATATTTTAATGTGTATAAAGTAATCTATTTATAAGGTTTTTCATTGTATCATTGTTTATGAGAGCAAAGACAGAATGTCTGTCACTATCAGACTAAGTAGATATTTTTTAACTGAGGCAGATATTTATGTTAAGATATAAAACATCTCCAGGACATATGGTTAATTGGAAAAAGCAAAGTGTATAGCATTCTATGATTTGTGTTAATAATAGCAAACTATTCAGATGATACATGTGGATAGGTTTTTGCTTGCGTGTGTTTAGAACATTTCTTGAAGGCTAACCATAAAGTACTAATAGTACTCCTCAGAGGCACACTTGATAGCTGTAAGTTTGAGTTGAGAGAGAGAGAAACTTTCTACTGCCATGCACCTTTGTACCCTTTGAATGTTATCTCATAAATATGTATTAGCTAATCGAAACAAATTGAATTTTAAAACAAATTCCCTGCTCAAAGCAAATCCTCTGCTCTTCTCTGATACCTTGTATTTTTTTCTTGCTCTTTCATTTTGCTTGCATATTGATATCCCCTATAAAACCGTGAGCAACTGGAGGTCTGCAACTGAGTCTCCACTGAGTTTCCATCTCCATCACCTAGCACAGTGCCTTACATATGAAAAGAAACTTTAAAAAGTCATAATGTCTTGAAAGGTGGTGGAGATCTTTTCCTTGGAAGGAAGTCTGGCCACCTTCACACAGGGCCTCACAGGGCAGCTGAGCAGGGCCGCAAGGCTTTAAGAACATCTACCCACCAATCCTGGGATTCGACCTTTAAGAGAAGGGAGGGTGAGAGAGACAGACGGAAACAGAGACAAAGAGAGTTTAAAATGGAAACTGAGCTATATTCTATAGCTAATTCAGTTGATTTCATCTGAGCATAGGTACACAGAGCACTTCTTAGGGGAAGGCCTAAAGGGTAGCCCACATTTTTTATTAGCAATAATATCTGCCACTTCCTGATTAGCTACAGATTTAAGACGACATAATCATCCTCTATGTCACCTAGTGGAGGGAGAAGAGGGAGAAAGAGGCTAAGAGGTTCTAAATCCCTTCTAACACTTGCTACTTCCTTCTCAGCAAGATTAGAGCAGTCAACAGCTGTCTGCATTTGTGTTCAGACCCAGCAGCCTAGTCTGGGCGGCCCAGAGCCTGAGGCCAGGACATTCTGAGGGCCATGTCTAGGACCCTCGGTCTGCGGTCCTCTGTAAGACAATGCAGGGCACACGATCCATCCTCCTAGCAGCAGTGAGCAGGCCAGGGGCCCTACAATTGCCAGGAGAGAAAAGCAAGGGATCCACTTCCCACAGCCATGCTGAAACAGAGTGAGAGGAGGCGGTCTTGGAGCTACAGGCCATGGAATACGCCCGAGTGTGAAGAGGCACCCAATTCAGGAAACAGCCAACACCGCAGGAGCATCTGCTCCTTGGGGGCCCGGTCAGGCTCCCAGGCCAGCATCCCACCGTGGACCGAGGGCAACTATAACTACTACTTTGAAGAGGATGAGGATGGGGAGGAGGAGGAGCAGTGGAAGGACAATCTGGTGGAGGAGGACCAGCAGCCAGAGGAGGCTACCACCACCCAGACAGAAGTCCTTACGGAGAGCTCCATGCTGAACGTGAACGTGGGTGGACAAAGCTACCGCCTGCACTACACCGAGCTGGCCTGCTACCCCAAGACACGCCTGGGCCGCCTGGCTACTTCCACCAGCCGCAGCCTCCAGCTGGGCCTCTGTGATGCCTACGAGGAGCAGACAGACGAATACTTCTTCGACCGTGACCCAGCCATCTTCCAGCTTATCTACAACTTCTACATGTCTGGGGTGCTGCTGGTCCGTGATGAGCTGTGCCCACGCAGTTTCCTGGAGGAGCTGGGTTACTGGGGCGTGCGGCTCAAGTACACACCCCGCTGCTGTCGCATCTGCTTTGAGGAGCGGCGTGATGAGCTAAGTGAGCAGCTTAAGATCCAGCGTGAATTGCGTGCCCAGGCGCAGGCCGAAGAGGCAGAGGAGCTCTTCCGAGACATGCGCTTCTATGGGCCGCAGAGGCAACGCCTCTGGAACCTCATGGAGAAGCCCTTCTCATCGGTGGCTGCCAAGGCCATCGGGGTGGCCTCCAGCCTCTTTGTGCTCATCTCCATCGTGGCACTGGCACTCAACACGGTGGAGGAGATGCACCAACAGGCGGAGCAGGGCGGCCGGTGGCCCATCCTGGAGCATGTGGAGATGCTGTGTATCGCCTTCTTCACGCTCGAGTTCCTGCTGCGGTTGGCCTCCACGCCCGACCTGCGGCGCTTTGCACGCAGCGCCCTCAACCTAGTAGACCTAGTGGCCATCCTGCCGCTCTACCTACAGCTGCTACTGGAGTGCTTCATGGGCGAGGACCAGCAACGTGGCAAGGGCTCCTCCAAGGAGCATGACCTCGAGACCGTGGGCAAAGTGGGCCAGGTGCTGCGCATCATGCGCCTCATGCGCATCTTCCGCATCCTCAAGTTGGCGCGCCACTCCACTGGGCTGCGCGCCTTTGGCTTCACACTGCGCCAGTGCTACCAGCAGGTGGGTTGCCTGCTACTCTTTATCACCATGGGCATCTTTGCCTTCTCCGCTGCCGTCCACTCCGTGGAGCACGACATGCCCGGCACCAACTTCACCAGCATCCCCCATGCCTGGTGGTGGGCCGCGGTGAGTACCATGACCTTGGGCTTTCCAACATCTTCCCCAGCCTTCCCATTCTTGGGTTATCAGCTGTCTGTTTTCATCCCCTGATCTTTCCCTTGTCTTGGCCAAGGACCACTCCGCTGCTGCCTCCAGAGAACAGAAACAGAGGCGGGTGGTAGAGTGTCAGAGACAGGGACACTGCAGTCCAGGAAGTAACTGGGTTTGACTTTATCTTAGGAACCTCCAAGTCTAGACTTAGTTTTAAAACCTATACCAGGTAGATTTTAAAGAGGATTCAAGGTTGATGTATGTGGGAAGCTTCCTCAGCATCATTCTTGTTAATTGCCATTCATCAAACATCTATTATCCTAAGTAGTTTAATATAACTTTATCTTAACCCTATAAGGTGGTTATAATCACTATTTCTATTTAAAATAGGACGTATTGGAGATGGCTTCCTTTTTTCTTTCTTTCTTTCTTTTTTTAAAGAAACCGGGTATTTGTTTAGGAGCAGAAATAGACCTGGCTGAACACTGTCAACTCTAACTGGAATCCCACTGGTTCGAGCTAAATCTGAGGGTGTAAAGAAGCATCTAAAAGTGACACTTGCTCCAATGTCACTGGAGTTCTCTCAGGATCTGGTGTTATTGCCTCATTTTATAGAAAAAGGTACTGAGGCACAGAGAGTTTGAGTGCAGACACACAGGAGTGAGGACAGAAGCCCAAGCCTGTCCCGGTACAAAGTCCCTGTCATCTCCACACCCAGCACTTCCTCTTCCCTTCTTTAGCTCTTCTGCAGGCCTTGAACAGTTCATATACTAGCTATTTGTTGTCATTGTTTTCTTCAGTATTTGCCTTTTTATAACAATTTATACCATTTACTCACATACCTTCCGGGGTATGTATTTCCGGGGTGCTTAACTGAATGCTTGGAAAATCCCTGAATCCCTGGAAGTGCTGATTGGGTCTCCTTAAGTCAACAAATAAGCTGACATGTACACAAAGGAAAGTACTAGGTGTGTGGTTTCTGTATGTCCTTAAGTAGATTATTGTAATGCCTTTAAAGACATTAAGCAAATATGACAAGCCTTTTCCTTGTCAGAAAGTAGATATTTTCAACATTAACACTGGGTAGATCAGAGCCCAAAGTCTCAGGCAAACATTTGAACCACCCCAGGGCTACTAACAATGTAGTTTGGTAGGATGGATTTCAGTTCTAGTGTCAGATGTGGTCATAATGAACTGTGACCCTAAATAATGAGCTGTGAAACCTCACTCCCTCCTCCCCATCCTGTTTCCTCATCTCTAAAAGGGGAGGATGGAGGGCTCTGCAGTTCACTGAGGCTGCCTGCCTCCCCTGGAAAGTGAGTGCTCACATGCACTACAGGGTTCGTGAGCTTTCCTCAGTGAAGGCATGGCATTAGACTCTTGTGAACAAACAAGCCAAATGCCACTCCTCTGATCATATTCTCCATGACAAAAGGTCATCTCCATAGTAGATAAACTGTGTGTACAGGTGGAAGGATGGAGGATAATTTGTCCCCAGCAAGTGACCTTTACTTTAGAAGTGAGTAAAGTAGGAAGCGAAAAGAGCAAATACACATGATGATGATATAATTCAAGTTTTAGAGAGTTAGGTTTCCATCTATTTTTATGTCTTAGATTAGTCCATGTGGGTTGCACCTAGTGGACTCTTTAATACTATAATTTTAACCCACTAAACTTCTTTTACCTTTTGTGTATTAATGCAAAGATTTTTATTTAAAAATTGCTTGTAATACTGAATTTTTCTTTTTAAAAAATTTCCTGAAGTGAATGCCCATTGATCCCATTTAATTTCTTGATTGGCTTAATATATATACAAAGATGTTTAACTTACAAATTATTCCTTTTATATATTAGCTGAATTTATTTTACTCAACGCCAGTGTTTTCCATAAATTTCACAGCAAAAATGTAACCAATGTTCAGGTTTGATGTGCAATGAATTTTACCAATTATTACTTTTACTACTATGTGTTTTCTTTTGTGGCCTTTCTATCAGGCACTATTTTCCTAGACCAAAATTGGTACATTTCAACCTTGCCATTTCCTAATGTTAACCTTTACCAATGACCTTTGTCCATCTTATTCTCTGAGAATTATGTATAGTATTAAAATCATTGACTTAGATAAAAGACTGATAATGTGTATTTATTTCTAATTATAGGAACAATTACTCTTGAGTGTTTGAGGGCTACTCTATTCCCCAGGATTGATGTTTTATTAACCCAGTTTTTATTACTTATGCTAACATTGCATATTGGGTACTAAGGGCTTGTATTCTCAGTAGAACAAAAAGAACACTGTCAAAATGATGCAGACAAAACATCTTGTTTCCTTACATAGATATAAAGCAAAAAGATGCAAAATATTAGGGCCAGTTCCTCATATTATCCACAAAAATCCATGCCATTCATTCACTGAGCAAAAACTGTTTGAGTACCTCCAGGGATCCTAGTATTCTAAGCACTAGAGATACTGAGTGATAGAAAAAAAGAAAACGTTTCTTTCCCCCATGGAGTTTATGTTCTAAGGGAGAAAGATAATTTTTTCAGCTATTTGTGTGTCTTGTATCAGATAATAGGATCGAGAGTGACTTGGGTGGCAGAATCTACCCTCTGGGAGAAGATGAAATTTAAGCAAAATTTGAACAATTTTTGCTTTAATTTATGAGAAGAAACTCATAAATACACATAACTAAAAAAAATGAGAATCTGAGAAGTAGAATCCTAGAAGTAACAAATAGAATAGTCTTCAAGATTTTATTTAAAAATTTTGAGCACACATCCATGATCAATATGTGTTTAGTGATTCATAAATTCTAAGTTCAGCTGGGGAAGTTCTCATTTGGACTCATACTATTTCAGCTGGCTGATGGCTGGGATGAAAGAGGAGACTACATATCTTTCATTCTCTAGCAGACATGTATCCATGGCCATGGCTAAGGACAAGAGAGAATGCAAGCCCAACCATGCAAGCACTGTAAGCTTTCCTTCAATGTCATTTGCTCAACCCATTATCCAAAGCAAGTCACAAGGCCAAACTCAGAGTCAAAGGGCAAGCAGGGCAGGTTAGCCCACCCACTACAGGGAAGCACTGTCAAGTTATATGGCAAAGAGCTTGGATACAGGAAGGTATAAATAATTAGTTACAGTAGTACAATCATTCTATTGTAGTAAGAAATTACTCCTCAAATATATTATACACATTAGAAAACATACACTCATACACTGAAATTCTGAAGATGAGGTTAAGAATAATAGAATTGGTAATTTGTTCCACCACTGCAGCGCTGCATCACTGACATTAGATTCTCTAATACATTCCTCCCTGTCTTCAGTGCTTTCAGATCACCCTGAATCTGATTTGCTTTTAATAATCTTCCCTCTCTCTATGCCAAGGATCCTGCAACAGTCGTCTGTTCAACTTGGGGTTTTAAGAGGAATACTATAAATGTCATTACTGTGATTCTCCTACAGCTGCAGGAGAATTCCCTCCTGGACACTTGTGTCTGCAGATGCTCATGCATTAGGATATAAAATAGACCCATCCTACTCGTTTGACAAATGGTGGTTATTTGTGACCACTAATATAATAGGAAACATATGTAAAATGCTAGCCTGTGGTATACCCACAGTAAATAGAAGCTACCATATCTGACTAGTTAATGGTCTTTATCACATGGAAGCAATAACCTTTGCTTCCAGGTTCATTTGAGGGAAAATAAAACAGACTTGATTCCTTCTCTACTGGGGAAAGAGAAAGACTATGGGATATACACAAGGGTCAGCTGTTCTATCTTGGGAAAGCTTCTCAGTGTCCAAATAAATAGGCCCATGCTTGGAGCGGCCCCAGCCATGCTCCAAGGGTTGCCTGGGTGTGGGAAATGCATGGCATCACCTGACAAGTACAATTAACTCTGTGATGAAGCTGTGATCATTGTCTCCAGTGTGGCTATGTTTTTATGGAGAAAAGGGCAATTGGCTGTTCAACAAACCATTTCCTTCTGAGCTTTCCAGAGCGAGTTAGAGCAGTAGAAACTAAACAGGAAATGATGTCATGAACTTACTCCTTCAAAATGCAACAAAAACTCTTCAGAAAGAAAATTCATCTCCAGCTGAGGCATTTGATAATTATGCCCCAGAGACCTTGCTTCTATTCTTGTTTTCCTAAAGTATGATATCATTTCCTTGCAAATAAGTGGTACTTATGAGATCACTGAGATGCATTTTATATTATTTTATTTTTACTCATAGACTGCATGCTTTGAGGAGACCCATTTAGAAGGTGAATCAGTCAAGTTACACTGAGGAAAATAGAAAACATTTTGGGTGTTTTAAATAGAGGAGATTTGATATAGGGAAATAGATACATAGGTGTAAGAAAGCTAGAAGCAAAAAGGGGAAACAGAGATAACCTAAAGATTGGTAAATGTAGGAAATATCTGCTGGCCCTAGAACTTGAGGAACAGGAAAGAAAAGGGGAGGTACCAACACAGGAGTAAAGAGGCAGAGCCTCCCAGTGGCTGTGGCAGGGACCCCTAAGGTGAGGCTGGTGCTGAGCACTGAAAGATACCTGAGCCATAACTATCTACTGTTACGGAGGATGAGGACCCTGATCTCCTCATAACACCTTCCAGTCTCCAACAGTGTCTCTCATGGTCAGAACACACCAGAAGACAGTGGGCAAAGGAATTTGGGAAATGTAGTTTGCAGACTCCCAGTTGCAGAATTACAAAATAGAGTACAGAAGGGTGTCAGGCATGGGACCGAGAGACAACAGGCAGATGTCTGATCCAGAAGGCATTACAGTTCTTCCAGTTTCTTCAAAACTAGCACAGTAGCTGTCGGCAACCAAAGGCTATTAGGCACTTTTATGACTTTTGGTCCCCAACTCCTGATTTTGGGGTAGTCCCCTTCTTTCTTTGTATGCTCCTCCTGTTGACCATTAGGACTTGAGTGGGACATGATAGAGTTGCAGAAG